ATGACAATAGTGTCAACAGGGATCAGAGTGAGAGAACCAAGCTCATTTTCACTTTTGACCCAAGAAGGACTCATTCCCAGATTTTCAGATGTGAAAAGCTCACGCACTAATTAGCACTGTCTCTTGCCCTCAGCATCAATTTTGAAAGTCACCAGTTCAAATTGAACATCCAGAAACTTGGCAAAATAATCCAAAGGGTATCCAAACAGATTTCAAATTAATCAGCTTATGAATCCAATTTGTAGCCATAATAGGACTTTATATTTACAAGACACTATTTTTTTCTAGTATTGTTCTTCAGCTAATGCTGGAATAAATATTGATTAACTATAGTTCAGCATACGACAATGGCATGGCTACTACCCTCTAGACTGAAAGGCTTCGGTCTTGTTACCTCATTACTCGTCCAGGCAGCTCTTCCACAGACCAGTGTGTGTTCGAGCACATGCCTGTTCTAGCCATGGGTGCGTCTTGCTAAAAAGGAGAACTTTCACCCTTCACAGGCTGGCTTAGTTTACCCACACGGCAGTTTGTCCCTGGTGCTGGCCTCTCCCCGAGCCCCAGTGCCACCTGTCCTTGGTTCCATCGTTGTCTTTGTTGCCTATTCCTGGTCCTGTGTCATGTCCACAGCACGTGGGTAAGCCCTCCTATCTCTTGCGTTCTCCTGACTGCTCACCTACAGGCTTCCTGACCTCTGTGTGGCCCTGTCGTTACTCACAATGTCCATATGGCCTCCCCTTCACGGACGGTCCACCTCAGGTCCAGCTCCAGGACCCCTCTTGTCCTGTTGCTTCATGAACTCACACATTGGTTGAGGAGCGTCTCTACGGCCCCATGGGAGTTTTGAGGGTCTGATGGCCCCTCTCTCTTAAGCCTGCCCCGCAAAGAAGGGATCAGGTCAAATTGCCCTCCTTATGCTCTTACAAAGTGAGCTGGTGAGCTGTAGGGAGGAGGGTGTTCTACCTCCCGATACGGTGTCTGACAGCGGTAGGAACACTATCCATTTTTGCTGAATGAATTTTCCAGTAACTTGGGGGAAAACTACATACAAATTTCCTAGTAAAAATCCCTTCCGTCCTCATCATTTTTTCAACATGTTTACTGAGTATCTGCTATGTCCCAGACAGAGAGCTCTGCTCTCAGGGAGATTACGTTCAGGGGACGAGTAACAGGCAACTAAAATATGGTAAATATTAGACAGCATACAAGAAAGTGATACTACAGTGGAAAAAAAAACAAAGAAGCAGGGCGAGGTGGTTGGCTCGTTGCAGCATCGAAGAGTGTGAGGAGAAGGGCCCGCTGGGGCAGAGGCCTCTGATGAGCGCCAGGAGAGGGAGGCAGCCACACCCTGCCTGAGGGGAGCACAGTCCCAGGGCAGGTAGACCAGGAGCCCTGGCCAGGCTGTGCACAGGAAGGGGAACCACAGGTGAGGTCCCGAGGGTCGCACGGCACCCTGTGCAGCTCTCCTAGGACCTGGCTTCCCAGTGGTCCTGGGAACCTGTGTGGGTTTTGAACAGAGTGATGTGGACTGACCGTAGGGGCAGAGCACAGGCCGAGAGAATTGGGCTGGGAGGAGAAGCTGAAGGCTCTGAGAAGCTCTGTAGAAAAGAGCCCCTGGACCTTCACTGCTTCAGCCATTTCCCTACTGATCGGGGCAGATTCCTGTTTTTCCCATGGCCCTCCTGTGTCCTCATCTCCCAGGTCCCCAGAGCCGTAAGAGACATGTGCAGGCCAGGCTGGCGTGGGGCCGTCTGCATTCTCCCGCGTGTGTGAGCAGGCGTTGCAGGGCTTTCTCAGTTTGGGCCTAGCCTGGGTGGGGATAGGGAATATTTTGCTGCCACTTTACCGATGAGGCAGCGGAGGCTCAGAGGGGTGGTGTTTCCTGCCTAAGCAGACATGGCAGTAAATACTGGTGCGGTGGGCACTGGTGCCCAGGTGTGGCTGCAGACGCTGTGTTCCAGCTCTGAGCTTCTGGGCTCAGGTCGGGCCTTTCAAGGTGTCACCTGCCCTGGCCCTGCAGTGGCTACAGCCCATCCTCCTGTGGCAGGAGGTGCTGTCCTTCCTCTGAGCCCTCGGCCAGATGCTCTGTGCACACGTCCTGGCCATGTTCTGGCCGCGGTGTCCACAGAGGGGCTTTGGTGTGTAGCTCTCAGCTGGCTGGGAGCAGAGACTGATCTTGCTCCGTGCTCCTTGTGCCGGGAGGAGCCGTGAGCAGAGCGTCCTTTACAAAAACCTTTAGCCACAAGAGCTGCGCTGCCCATGCTTGATGCAAAAAGCCCAGGCTCCAGCGGGAGCTACTGCTGCCCCAAGTGGGCAGTGTCCTCCTGGGCTTTGGGGACCCTTTTCTCTTCCTTCCTACACTTCCTGGACACATACTCGGGCTTAGACTCGGGCTGGCCATGCAACCAGACTAGGCCTGGCTGCGTTCTCCCTATTTCACAGAAAAGGAAAGAGCCGGCCATGACAATGAACCAGTGTTGCAGGGGCAGAGGCAGGCTCATCTCCTAGCACCAGCCCTCACCCCTGCTGTCTCCATTTCCTGCTGCAATTATGAGTGGGCTGTTCACTCAGGCTTCTTTTTCATGAATCGTGTTCCCCTTTGGCACCTTGTGGTTGGGGTGGGGTGGGGACAGCAGCACTTCCTCTGGAGAGCGGAGATATGAGTCCCAAGCTGTTGGCGGCGGCCGGCAGGTTCTGCGGGTGCCCAGGCTGCAGTCCACCTTCGCAAGCATCTCTACCGTTTTCAG